TCCTGACCTTTGAATTTACTATATGAGTAAATTCTTAAACATGCACGTCCGAATTTATCATTATGATTTTCAAGATGTTCAAAAAAATTGTTTTTAAAAAAGTTTTAAAAAAGTTTTAATTAATTACTTTCTCGACCACCTCCTTTCGCATCAGATTACGACACAATTGTTCTAATATAAATATCTCGAAAATAACGGGAGCTCAAGTGCCGTCAGAACATTATACAAACCGAAACATTAATATATTTACTCACCGCTTGGCCAAAGATTCTAGATTTCATATCTGCAAGATCTTGAATATCTCTTGAACTTTTCGTCATTTTCTGAACGGCTATATGTGTAAAATACTCTTTGTATCCAAGCGCTTTTGTGTACAAGATTTCGTTTGAATACGGCGAGTAGAAATATTTATTTTGAATTTTTCAAGATGTCGGGTTTTACTCACACTTGCGTACATTGCGCAATAATTGGCCAGGTGCAAGTGCAATTTGACCTTCGGAACCATTTCCAGGGTCATACGATACAAACGTCGCATTGTTTTGACGGTTTTCGGCCGTATTTCCGGTTGGGATTAATTCACTTCGAGCTCACAGTCGGAGAAGAAATGGAAATATATTGATAAAAGATACAGATTTGAAGATACAGGCTTGCAAATAACACTGTAAATAGTGTTTTTGATGGGAATTCGAACAAGACTATTACAAAGACGATATGTTTGAAAGGGCCGAAGTTATTTTCGGCGAAAGGTATAGCTAGTCCATATTTTTGTTCAGACAATTGCGTAATTTGATACAATATTATCGTGTTTGACTTTCAAAGGCCCATAAATCGCTATAATGTTGATAATGACTATACCTATAGGGAGGAATTAGTTGAATCTTTTATTTCTGAATCGAATGGTGGCCTTCATAGCATGCACTAAACCGAAGATATGAAATCCTCGCCGTCATCCGCTAGAGGATGACGAGATTGGCTTGTAATTCAAAAGAACTTTTAAAAGAGTTTTAAAAAGCAAAAAAGTTTAAAAAGTTAGATTTTCAAAAAAGTGGAAAGAGTTAGGTTTAGGGGTTAGTGGTTAGGTGTTATATAGAGGTTACTGGTTAGGGTTGGGGTTAGTGTTAGGTGCCGCAAGTTTATTATTATGATAAATTCAAAATGTGCCGCGAATTTATCATAATGATATTAAAATTCGGACGAGTTTAAGAATTTACTCATATAGTTAATTCAAAGGTGAAGCTCATGCTGGATATTTCTCAAGTAAAGCTGGATGTGTTAATTTAATACAGTTAATTAAATTAACCATTACATAATCCTGTCCTATTATAAAGTACATGCTAGCTGCCAATTTGATAACCAAAATTTGTGATGTGAAAAACACATGCAAATAGGGTACTCTACCCATAATGGCTAAAAAATGTTGGTGTGATTCTATACGTTAATTGAGTATCAGAATTTGGGACATCTCACTCGATTGAACTAATGTAGAAGAATTTTGTAGCAGAAACTTTGAATGTAAATTGTATACATTAATTTATTTACTGGAAAAGAAGCAATAATTTGCCGTCTTGCAGGAATTGAACTTTTGTATACCGGTTTTGAGCAATCAATATTATGGCTTACGTCACAAATTTTCTTAACTCCTAATTAAAGTCGCTTTCCTGATAAGCGTTTCTTAATGTGCATGCGCGTAGAAAAGTTTAAATCCATTTAGAAATTACTCGCAAAATAATTGAATGAATAAGAACTGTGCATTTTGTTTTCTGTAAGATTCAATTTGTATTAGTTGGCAATCCGTACATGTATGTGATTTGGAAAGATTTAAACTACTTTTCCGTGTGTGTCGACGTATGCGTATATGAAATAGGCTTAATTTAAATAAGCAGTCTTAGCGAGTTTTTGTAGCCCGCCCATATTGTGTATCTACTTTGGCTTGCAACTTGACTTGTATTCCTTCAGTAGCCAATATCGAATTCAAATCCCATTCGGCACTGACACTCGTTGGCAAGCAATTTCATAAAACTGAGTTATCAAAGTGATCATAGGTCATAAAGACGTAAATGTGAAATTGTAGATAATTTTACATTATATATATATATATATATAATGTAAAAGCAGCATTATATATATATTTATATATATATATATATATATATATATATAAATACAATTTCACATTATATATATATATATATATATATATATATATATATATATATATATATATATATATATATAAAGGGGAAAAGTTCTGGGTCCGTTATATCAAAAGATAGTTAAAGTTAGCTTCAGTTAGTGCTAAGATTTGCAAATCAAAATCACGCAGATAGGGTTTAACTGCTATTTAGAAGATATTAAATAGTGCTTACGAAAAGTTAAAAGCTGTATATACCACCTGTCCCTGGTCAAAAGCCAATTGTCCTCAGCAGGTTTGGGGAAAATTTCTCATGAGCGAAAGGGAAAGTTTCAGCAGAAACTGAGGGGATACAGCAGTTTTTGTGCAGTAGACATATATCCAAACTCACAAGCCAAGTTGGCATCATTTGTGTGAATCATGTATACTATACAAATAGTGTATTATCAGACTATACCAGTACAAATGTTACATTAATTTCCGATATCTGAAGCCTGATATGCATGCGATCTATAAATAATATAATACAGTCAAACCCCTGTTAAGCGGACATTTTCGGGATCTTACCAGTACGATACGTCTGCTGAAAACATCTGTGCGCTTAATGCGATAGCAAACACAGCTGGGGTGATGCCTAAATAACTTATAGGAAGAGTAGTGGTATAGTAAATAAGACAGTAAATGTATCATCAGAGGGCTTGCATGTTGATGATGTGGAACGTCGATGCGAGTTTAAGTTTCAAGGACACGATTTTCCTTCCAAATTGTCGAAGAACATATTGAACAAAATTTTGTTAAAAAGAAGATTAGTTTAAGTTACTAGCGTTTATACTTTTAATAAACAGTGAAAAAGAATAATATTTACAAGTCTTCATTTTTATAAACATTTTATTATTTAATGAAAGACATCTACATTTATCAATTACGTTTTTCCGCCTATAAGAAAGGTTATTCGTCTCATTGGGACCTAAGTCAAGTGGCCACTTCCGCTTTATAGAGGTATCTGCTGAATGAGTGTAGTATGCAATAATGCTTCAGTCAAGAAATAATTTTGATATAGCATGCATGCATGTGTCCACTTAAGAGAGATGTTCGTTTAAGATTGCTGTTCTTTAATATGGGTTTAAGTATCTATACACAACCTGACACACAAAAGGAATTTCAAAGTTAAAAATAACAATATTGTTTCAAAGAACCAGACTGAAAATTATATAGAGAGTTTTAAATCGAGTATGAGATAAACAAAGGAGACAACTAATTATTTGTCTATATACATGGTGTACCAAAAAAAGTGCAATCCTCGACTGAAATGTAAATTGCTAAACAAGTAATAGACGAAAACGTTAAAGTTTACATTCATTTTAAAGCGTAGCCATTCAGCTTTCTAACAGTGGGTTGTTTCTTAAAGTGGACTCATTGGTTCGCGGGTAATAATACTTTACGTTATTGCGATTGGAGATTAAAAAAATTGAGATGGAATAACAAATCGTTCTCATGAAAATAACTGATTTTTTCATTAAAACAAAAAAATGTTGCATTTTATTAAATGAATTGTAACAATAAGTATAATTACGGCTTTTCTTCCACTATTTTTAACTCAGTTTGAAACTTCAAATGCGATATAATTTTGGCTTGGACCATCTATAAGCTGACTGACATCAACTTGCTATAATTTCTGTTTACATTACATCGCAATTCGATGACACTCTGGCTCAGACACCAGAATGTTTTGACGATTTTTAGCATTCGTTTAGGATTTTCAAACAACCTGGTCTCTTTTAAAATACTTTTAATTTGTTCTTACGTGGTTTTCCAGATGTAGTGACGACATTTAAAGAAGAAAATTCTAACATTTAAACCGACTAAACAATAACATAGTAAACTTGCATAATTAAACACCAACTAAAAATGATAGGTTTTACTAAATCTTTTCCTGTGCAATTATTACTAGCATTGGAGACAAGGATAATAGTTTGTTTGAAACGGAGAAAAGAACAGGCTTTGAAGTAAGCCTAAAAGCGTTTAACTAGAAATAGTATTTCGAAAGTTATTAAGCATAAAAGATGAATTGCGTTTATTTTGGTACACCCTGTATATATATATATATATATATATATATATATATATATATATATATATATATATATATATATATATATATATATATATATATATATATATATATATATATAAACTATTCCTCTTAAAGCATCTTTCTGTGGTGCAGTAAAATTCTTGAGATACTCGATGTATAACAGAACAATAGGCAGTCACCAATAACTTGATATCATTTTTAGGGACTTTCTAGCACGATCTAAAATATGCTGATATATATTTCCGACAGAAACAAAAACAAATTCGACAGTTTGTCCCAATACTCGCAATTACAACTGTTATCGTGATGTACTACATGGAATATTTTTCAAATGCTTTCAAAATGAAAGAGGTTTTTCCATATTTGGCTAAGAGAAAAAAACCAGGAGTTTACCACATAAACATCTTAGCAAACCTATAAATAGTTACACTGTGGTATAAATTTCAAGGAGTTGAGTCAAATCCAAAACTGTGTTTCTATCGCCAAAAGTGTTGACAGAATAACACTTTATTTTGAAGTGGATTCAACTCCATGAAATTTGAAGTGTAAATGTAACCTTCGAGAATGATTTTAATTTAAACAACGTCCAATATTATTATTCTCATTTTTTTAAGAGAGGATACGGAAAAGTCACTTAGCTAAGTAGCTGAAGTAGTTCGAGTAGGAAGTGCGTCATCAATAAGTAGCTCACGCACATCATGCTAATACCTTGACATGCGCATGCCCATTCCATTCCAGTATTATTAGAGGAACATATATATAAAGCCCGGCCTGCTTCTTTTCAGCGGACACAGGGACTTTTTGCTTGCAGGACGATACCGTTAATTGGTGGTTTGCGCTTAATATTTGGAATATTATCAGGTATGTTGAATTGACTTTAATATTTTATGATTAACATGCATGTATTGTATTTGACTATGCAACCACAAAGGAAACAAACTCGCTCTATTTATAATTGTCTATAATTTTCCTTGATAGAAAAGGATATCACCAATTTAACTGTTCAAAACTAGCTGCTATATGCACGTTGCGTTATTTTAAACTTCATATTTTACCAAGCTAGTTAATGAACAATTTTTCTTCGCGCGCTGCTATTTGAGGCACAGTGTAAAACGTTCAGATTGAAAATAATCCATGCTGGGGAAATTATATAAAAATTTATTTGAGAGAGCTAGACGTACTGTATAATAGCCTTCCAGCTGCTTTTTCTAACATTAAATAAAGTGTTAAACTTTTCGTGACCACCCGGTACTATATTACATTTTTTCTCTTTTAGTTAATCAGTAGAAACGATTAATAAACGCAGCTTTTAATATATGTATTGTGTTTTTTAATTATTTAAAGGTATACGTAGTTTCCTTTCCAAATATCAAAATTTCAAGGTGATTTCCACTTCCATTAGAAACTTATAATGAAGACAGCTTTTATGTTGGCGATATTTTCCACGACCTTGCTTGCGCTGGTCCACGGCCACGGCTATATCATAGACCCACCCGGTCGTGCCTCGCGTTGGCGCAAGGGTTTTCCTGGACCACCCAACTATGATGACAACGGTCTGAATTGTGGAGGTTGGAGTCAACAGTGGGAAGTACATGGTGGAAAGTGCGGCGTCTGTGGGGATGAATATGGCATAGGTTGGTAAACGCATATGTACTGTATTGCTAAGAGCAGGACACACTAAAGTCATAGTCCGTTCATGGCTCTTTACGCTGCTTTGAAACTACGACATGTAGCACGCATGCGTATTCGAGATATCACCTACTTTGTCACTTTTATAATATTTTGTGTGTCCCACATACGCATCCTACTTTGTCGTCATATATATATATATATATATATATATATATATATATATATATATATATATATATATATATATATATATATAAATATATATATATATATATATATATATATATATATATATATATATATATATATATATATATATATATATATATATATATATATATATATATATATATATATATATATATATATATATATACAGTATATATATATTAGTATGACATCAATCAATTAGATCTCGAGCGAGATTATATCTACGATTCAGTTAATACTAAAAATACTTATTCCCCATGAAAGATAATCCTATCAACTAGTTAAATTTGAAATTTTAAAAGATATCGTCTCATATAAACCCTTCCAAATCCCATGCATACAAATTGAAAATCCTAATTATTTTCAAGCACTAAATAATGATCAAATTATCACACTTCTTTTTGTCACAACGTACAGCGAGTATTTAATTTGTAACTTGCGATTGTTGGCATCTATTCACTTCATTACAGCGCTCATATTGGTGTTGTATCGGTTCAGCAAAAATGTGGCCAATCAATCTGTATATAAGCATCACTAAATAGAGTTATTTTTCTTTTCTTATTTCCTGCAGCCAATCCTAAGTTCGTCCATCCAGGAGTGTGGGCCAACAACCCACCCATTGTGAAGACCTATCAAGCCGGGCAGATTATCACCGTCAAAGTCAAAATTACTGCAGCACACAAAGGGTACTGTGAAAAGTAGCGCTGAACTTGATCTTTATCAAAATATTATTTTAGCGCCACACAATGAATTCCTTCGGATTGATCGTCATAAATAATTTCGCAACAATCTTTAAAGAGGCTGTCAAGTCCGTTCTGCTCATGCGCGTGTTTTGTTTACATTGTTTGTGATAATTTAGTTAAAATTCCGATCTGCCGGTCTCCAAGTTAGCTCATTACGCATTCAGAATGTATCACAAGGAGAAATTGAACTACTGAAGCAAACAATTAGCACTGAAACAACAAATTTTAGATCGAAAACGCTTGTACACATTTGTACACATTTAGCTCCAAAATGACAAATTAAAATTGAAAATTTAAGATTGAAAATTGTAAAGATGTGTTTCTTAACATTTTCAATCTTGAATTTGTCATTTTGGAGATGAATATGTACAAATTTCAATCAAATTTTGCCAATACCTCCATAAGAAGTGCTTCTTAGCGTTTTCGATTTAAAATTTGTTGTTTGGGGGCAAAATTTTTGTTTCAGTGGTTCAATTTCTCCTTCGTGATGTTTTCGGAATGGTAATGAGCTAACTTGGAGACCCACAGATCGGAATTTTAATTAAATTATCACAAACAATGTAAACAAAACACGCGCATGAGCAAAACGGATTTGCCAGCCTCTTTAAAATTAAGGACGCAAATGCCGTGAAAAAAGCATAGTAAATTATACATAGAGAATGATTATGAGCAGCATTCGAATTACAAGTTTAAAATTTTATTCAAAGTATAGCCCACTATAGCACTTTATTATGACATTGCATGATTAATGAAAATATTCACGTTTGTGAGTTCTTGTAAATATATGTAGCCTAGGTCTGGAGGTTTTCCCAAGGAACATGTTTTTGAATGTCAATTACTATACGCTTTTATGATATGCTGGATCACCAAATGGAAACAACAAGCAAATTTTAAGCCACATTTGCTTTCATATTTCTCTCACCACACACTCATTTTCATAGAACTGGCAAATATACTCGGAACCGCACATTTTCTACAGATCAGCACATTAGAAAATATGATTATAATGTGAAATGAATTATTGTTTCTACAGATACTTCACGTTCCGCGTGGCTCCGTTAACTAGTGTACCCATTACTCAGCTACAACTCGATCAACATGTGTTAATGCTGCCTACTGGCGAAGATCGCTGGGTCCTGGGTGACCGCCCCGCTGCGGAATACACCATGAACCTGAGGCTACCAACGGGATTGAGATGTGCTCACTGCGTAATGCAATGGTGGTACACCACAGCGAATAATTGGCAGGGTGAAAGACCAGAGAGTTTTGTCAACTGTGCTGATATTAAAATCGTGTGAGAAATGATGATCATCATGAACGTTTTCAACAATTTTAGGGCCTCATTCAATGCAAAACTTTTCGCTAAGTAAATTGGATCAGAAACTAGAACATTCTATTTTGTCTAAGCCTCGCGTAAAATCACACTATATTGAAAATTATTATTAATCAATAAATATTATGCATTTGATGCAGTTTAACTGTTTTGTTTTTTGTAATACAATGTTCATATAATATTACCTATTGAAGAAACTGGCCATTTTGTAAGAGTACAAGGTGTTGATTAGAATCATTTTCTATTGTTCGAAAAGTCCCCCAGCATGCCATCGATCTTCACTGCCTAGCAAATATCAACAAAAGATGAACATTTTTTGTGATTGGCTTGCTTTGGCATAATCTGTCAAAATATGACGCGGTCGCCTATCCTGGGAAGCTTACAACCTGTAGAATAGAAGCTTCAAGCGCCTATACCAGTGTAGGTAGTGACAATAACACCAGGAAGCCGCGAATTGAGAAGGATTCAACTACCATGAAAAATTGAATAAAGCGTTGACGTTTCGCGCGACGGCCCTTCGTGCGACGTTTCGATCGAGCGAAGGCCGAAGGATCTTCGCTCGAAACGATGACATTTTAATTGAATTTTTCATCAGTTGGATTCTTCTCAATTCGAAGATTTCTGTTACAAAATACTACAAAAACTAGGCATGTGCGGTCTCGCTCTTAAGTAACTCTTTAGGGCGTCGCCCTCAAACATAACGACCCTGCCCACAAACATGAAGGAATTTTGTAAGAGTTTGCGTGTTTCAACTTATAACGTTATACATTTATTTAGTAATTGCAGAAATACTGCAATAGAATTGATACAAATAATAATTTTCTATATTTCAGCGTAGTTTTCAACGCGCACTTCTCGAGTTTGTTGTGAACATTCCAAAATGCATTTCCAAGTTCCCAAGTTGAACGTGAACTTCGCACCGTAGTTTGCAAGCTCGGTAATTTCAATCTTTGAACTTTGATTGTAAAAAAATATTCAAAATTGAAATTTCTAGATTACATAAATAATTCGACGGAAGTTTTTGGTGAAGTGATCTCATAAGAACGAATTGGCTTTGATGATGAGCCGAAACAAACGGTCGGAGCTCGATGGAATTTACAGTATGTTCTAATAATTAACTTTGTAGTAGGGGAAAATATTGTGAAGCGATTAGTTTTCGATTGGAATTAGTTTCTTTGTTATGTTAATAGTTCGAAAGTTTTTTAAATTTAGATGTAGACAATCTCGTTCCCAGGCTCTTCCCTCTTGTTGAGGTAAGACCCTGGTCGGGGCCACTGAGCTATACTATATTACTGGAGGACCTGCTCGCCATCAACAAGTGAAGCCAAAAACATGGCGGATTTTACGCCATTGCCATGACTACTGGTCCCTAGATTCATGGCAACTAACACTGTCCCAACCGCGGTCCGAAGCTTTCGATGATGTATTCACCCCCCTGGTTTCAGGACAGATTTCGCTTGTTTTTGAGGTAAAAATCGCACTGAAAATCGTGATATTTTTCTCCTATAACTTGGCTGATTTACAACGTCGAGGATCCTGCCTTTTTGCGCCGCTCGTAGATGTATGAGATGTACAAGAAGAATATTTTTATTCACCGGTAATAATTTTATATATTCTAGAAAATTTGAAGCAGATTTATAGCAGAAGTACAGTACAAACTACAAAGTTTATACTACGAACATAAAAGTATATGAACAGCAAATTAATAGCAGACATAACAACCTGTAAATGGTTGGCAATTCTGTAAATTTTATTGTTCTTTTGATTTGGCATTAGCCTCCTTTCTCTGTATTTGCGTAGGGTTTTATGGATGGTTATGACTTCAAAGTCCTTGCTGTATACTGTCTGCACAATTGTATTTATTCAGTATTTTAGTATATTAAATTTTCCTTGACAAACTTTGAGTGATATCCTTGCCAGGTTCTTGCCAGCAGTTGTTTATAATTACTGTGTAGTTATATTAAATCTCACTTACACAACATGCAGACAAGTGAACAAATGCTTTGCTAGCTAGGCCAAAGACATCAGGTTCAAACCATTCAATACCCATTGCAATCAAGCAATTACCATAAACATATAAGCCCCCCCCCCCAATATAAGCCCCCCTGTGTATAGTCCCATCATATTTACTAACGCTCAGGCTATTCCGAATATAAGCCCCTTCCCCCTCTAAAGCCAGGCCTGTGTGTACAAGCCCATGGGCTTATATTATTTGACAGGGGCCGGTTGTATCAAGCCTGTTTAGCTTAATTTCTCATGAATCAGTCAACTTAAATATTCTGCACTGAATATGCATGTAGTTGTAAACATTCTATTAAGGTTCAAAACTTCTAGTTTGGTTGTTGAATGAATCTATAGACTTGCTTTCTATTTTGAGCTTAACCAACGTTTAAGCTAAACAGGCTTGATACAATTGGCTCCAGGTATATTTATTAATGCAGCTTAGCCATACGTATTAGAATACA